CTTAATTTCTTTCAACAATGTTTTGTAGTTCTCACAGTATAAGTTTTATACTTCTTTTGTTAAATTTATTCCTAGGTATTTTATTCTTTTTGCTTCTTTTGTGACTGGAATTATTTCCTTATTTTTGGTTTTTCATTGTGAATAGAAACAGAACTGATTTCTTATAAATTTGTATTATATCCTGCAACTTACCTAATCTTTACTGAGTTCTAATAGTTTTTCAGGTGATTTCTTGGGATTTCCTATATTCAAATAAATAGTTTTCCTTCTTCCTTTCCAATTTGGATGGCTTCTTTTCTTTTCTTTCTTTTCTTTTCCTTTTTCTTTCTTTTCTTTTCTCTTCTCCTCTCTCCTCTCTTTTCTTTTCTTTAACTTGTTTAATAGTCCTGGCTAGAACCTTCAGTACAATGTTGAAAGAACAGACATCTTTGTTTTTTTCCTGATCATAGGAAATAGCTTTCAATCTTTCACTATTCACTAGTTGTTAGCTGTGTGTTTTTCATAGATATCCTTTATCAGGTCAAAGAAATTCCCTTCCACTTTTAGTTTAAGCGTTTTTTTAATCAAGAAGAGGCACTGGACTTTTTCAACTGCTTTTTCTGAGACTACTAGGATGATCATGTGGTTTCTATCCTTTGTTCTATTAATACAGTATATTATATTGATTGATTTTTACATGGTAAACCAACTTTGCATTTTTGTCTGTTTGAGTATCTGGGTAATATTGGCCTCGTAGAATGAATCTGGAAGTCTTCTTTACTCCTTTATTCTTTGGAAGTTTGTAAAGAATTACTATTTTTTCAGATATACAATTTAGTGATTCATCACTTACATACAACACCCGGTGCTCATCACAGTGAGTGCACTCCTTAACCCCCATCACGTATTTGACCCATCCCCCCACCCACCTCCCCTCCAGTGACCATCGTTTTGTTCTCTATAGTTAAGAATCTGTTTCTCAGCCTGCGTCTCCCCAGTGCCCCACCCCCATGTTCATTTGTTTTGTTTCTAAAAATGTTTGGTAGCATTTTCCAGTGAAGCCATATCATCCTGGGATTGTTTTTCCTATCCAGAGTTTTTATTTCATCTTGAACCAGTGTCCCTCTAGAAATTTGCTCATTTTGTCTAAGTTATCTAATTTGCTAGTATAAAGTATACTAACTTTATCTATATAAATATATATTATATATATAAATAAAACAATCCTTTTTATTTCTGCAAGGTCAGCATTCATGTTACCTCTGTTATTCTGACCTTAACAACTTGAGTGTTATCTCTTCTTTTCGTGATCAGTTTAGCTAAGGCCTTATTAATCTTTTTAAAACAATCTGACTTTTGGTTCCATTGAGTTTCTCTATTGTTTTACTATTCTCTGATTTATTCACTTCAATCTCTCTTCTTTCCTTCTTTGTGTTTGATATGCTTAATTTGCTCTTTTTTCCCCCCAGTGTCTTAAAGTAGAAGGTTAGGTTATTGATTTGAAACATTTCTTGTTTTTTACTATATGCATTTACAGCTATACATTTCTCTTAGCACTGCATGTAGCACTGCTACATCCCATGAGTTCTGGCATACTGTGTTTCCATTTTCATTCATCTTAAAGTTTTGGTACTTTTCCCTTCATTTTCATTCATTTCAAATTATTTCCTTTGATGTATTCTTCTTTTATCCTTTGGTTATTTAAGCAGTGTGTTGTTTATACATGTTTGCAAATTCCCAAATTCCTATCTGTTATTGTTAATTTTATTCCATTATGGTCAGAGAATATGCTTTGTATGATTTTACTTCTTTTTATATTGAGGCCGTTTTATGGCCTGCCACATGTTCTATCCTGGAGAATATTTCATGTGTACTTGTATCCAGTAGAATATATATTCTACTGTTCTTAGGTTGAGTGTTCTGTAGATATCTGTTAGTCTATTTGGTTTATAGTTTTGTTTGTAATGTTGTTCATACTATTTCCTTGTTGATCTTCTTCCTGGTTGTTCATCCATTACTGAAAGAGGGGTGGGTATGGCAGTCTTCAACTATTATTGTTGAATTGTTTATTTTAATTCTGTCAGTTTTGTTTCATGTATTTTAGGGTTTGATGTTGTGGGGTGCATATACGTAATTGCAGTGTCTTCCTGTTGGACCTATTATCAGATAAAATGTCCTTCTTCATCTCTAGTAACTATTTTTGTATTAAAGTCTACATTCCCTGATATTTATAAAGCCACTCCAAGTTTCTTGTGGTTGTTGTTTGCATGACATATCCCTATACTTCCTTTTCATTTTTTTCTCCCTATTGTATCTTTAAATCTAATATTTCCCATGTAGATAGCATATAATTATATATTGGTTTTTAAAATCCAGTTTGAAAATCTCTGCCTTTTAAAGGAATGTTTAATCCATTCACATTTATAAATTGTTATTATTGACATAGTTAGACTTATGTCTGCCATTTACTTTTTGTTTTCTATCTGTCTTGGCATTTTTCTGTTTCTCCATTACTGCTTTCTTTTACATTAAGTGAATTATTTTCTAACTGTAACATTCTAGTTCTTTTAATGTTTTTTTTCACTATATATTTTCAAGTTAATTTTCTAGTGGTTGCTCTAGGGGCTTGCCATACACATTTTTATTTTTTAATTTTATTATTTATTTATTTACTTACTTGGTGCAAAAAGGCAGTTTTATTAAAGCATGGGGACAGGACATGTGAGCAGAAGGAGGGGCCGCCATATACATTTTTAACTTCTTAGAATCTACTGCAGATTCTAGTGAGACGCTGAAATGCTACTCCTATAACTTTCTTCCTTCTTCCCTCTTCTTGTGCTATTATTGCTATACATATGACATCTATATATATTGCAAACCCAAAACTACACTGTTCTATTACTTTACTATACATATTGTATCTACATATATTACAAACCCCGAACTACACTGTTCTATTACTTTATGTAATTTATTCTTTTTAAAGACATTGAGAGAAGAAAATAAGTCTATGTTCATAGAGTTTGTTATCAATCTCCTTCATTATCATTTCTAGTTCTCTTCATTTGTCCTTGTGGGATAATAGGGGTTCCAGAAAGAGGAAAACATGGATGAGGATTATTGAGGAAAGCTTTTCATAATTGAGGCAATAAGAGAGATAAAAGATTGAGATTGAGGGTTAACAGAACACTGAAAAGACAAGAATTGGAAAAACGCATAGTCTTCAAATCTTTGGAAATTCAGGTGATCTAACTGAAACAACCTAAGCTTTCAAAATAGTGGACTAATGGTATATTACAAAGATGCATACTTACTGGCATGGAAATACATTGTTATGTGAAAAAGTGTGTTATAAATCTATATAGTATGATACCATTTAGCATAGTATATCTTTTGGTGCAGGGAGAAAGAGTGAAGGAGGAGGGAAAGGAGAAAGAGGAGAAAGTGAAGGAGGAGGGAAAGAGAGGAGGAGTGGAAGGATATAGACCAATGTTAAATGAGTCATGGAATTATGAATGAATTTTATATTAAGGCTTTGAATGTATTTTATATTTTTAAAATACTTAATGTGTATTTGTGATAAAACAATAAACTTAAAAAAACTAATCCAGCAGAAATGAGCAAAAGACTTGAAAAAGCAATTTGCCTAAAATGAAATAAAACTGACTGAATACATATAAAAAAATTCAGCCTCATTAGTAATCAAATGCAAAATAAAATAATACTGAATTTTTTATCAAATTGGAAAATATTTTTGAGAGGAAAATACCAGGTGTTAGTAGGGGTTATAGGAAATACGCTCAGTACCTTGTTGATAAAAGTATAAAATCATGCAATTTTTCCAAAGAGCAAATTAATAATTTTTATAAATGCCCTTTAAAATGTCTATACTCTTTTAACCTAACAATTCCATTTTGGGGAATTTATGTTAATGAAAAAAGTAGTGGATGCTACAACCATTTAGCTGTAACTGTTTTGGAAAGCATTCCATAAAAATTCTGGAGTGTATGGTAATTAAGACTTAATCCAATGGAACTAGTCTAAATATCCAAAAAGTATGTAAAAATATATGAAAGAGACTGTACAATATATACCAACTTTTAATAGTCTCTTATTCTGAATGTTAGAATTATTAGTATTAAAATTTGTTTTCTTCTGGTTATCCATGTTTTCTACATTATCTGTAATGGACAATAAATTATTCTTTGAAATGGAAAACAAAGTTATTTAAAAATAATCTAATAAGCTGCCCAAGAAATAGCTTAGTTTTATTTCTACTTTCTTGATTTCCAAACCATGTATCCAACATTTAGATAACTTCTAGAACCAACATGCAGACAGCTGAGTCAGTTATACTAGCAAGCAGCACCAAGGACTGTAGCCTCTCTGTCCCTTGGTACTAAGCACAAACTATGTGCTAGGTACTGTGTTAACTAACAGAAGCTGGGAATAAAAAGAAGAGAGGGCCCTAGATTTTTGGCTTAAACAAGAGACAGGCTAGTGGCAAGAAACAGATGTGTATTTTCACAGCTAAAAAAATCAAGGTATGTTTGAGAGTGCCAAGGGAAAGGAGAGATGATTCTAATTTGTCTGTACCAATCATCTACAATTTGCTTCTTTCCCTCTCTAATTTACTGCTGAACCATCAAGATCATGAAACAATGAAAACTCATATATTCCCATATAAAGCTTACTAGTCCTACTTAACTCTCAGGGCCAGCTCACATGTCACTTCACCTTTATCTCTGGGGATAAAAGCAGCTGTCTTGATATGCTGTGACTATGGATTTAGTCAGAGAGGGCAGACACTAAGTCTAATTCATCTTGGTACACCCAGGTCAAGATGGCATCCACTGTGTATACATCATGACTTTTTCAAGCTTTGTTCAAGGGTTTAACCTTCCTGGCAAAGGAAACTTAGAAGTCATACCTGGCTGAATCACTAAACTCTACCTCTGAAACTAATAATACACTATATGTTAATTAATTGATTTTAAATAAAAAAAAAAAAGAAGTCATACCTGGTTGGGTTCCTTTTGTCCTCCTCAGAGATCAAAAACCAAACAAAGTCTGCATAGCTCATTCTTCCCTCTTTCTGAACTGTTTTTCCCCTGAAGAAAACACATGGTTATGAAGTTCCCTGAGCAATTACTCAGATAAATTTAGTAGGATGACAGACTAAACATAAAGCAACATCTTTCTTTGGAAATTAAGTCAAAGGAAAATCAGAATGCTGGAAACCTAACAAAGAGCATCCCTTCCATTGCCTATATTGTTTGCAAAGGACTGGAGGGTGAAACCAGAAGACATTTGTAGGTATGAAGAAATAAGTCTGGTTTCCAATTTGAATGCAAATAATCACCAGGATCAAATACTGTTACCTGTATTTAGGTAAAGGATTGATGCCCGTAAATTAAAGAATTACTACTGTCTTGTATGAAGCCATGGTGTGCAGGAAGCTGTGCTAAAATGAGATTGTTAAAGTGTTACCTGTAATTCATTCATTTTTCTTTAAAGATTTTATTTATTTGAGAAAGAGAGAGAGCAGGAGTGGGGGGAGGGGCAAAGGGAGAGGGAGAAGCAGACTCCCCGCTGAGCAGGAAGCCCAACATGGGGCTGGATCCCAGGACCTGAGATCATGACCTGAGCTGAAGGCAGATGCTTAACCCACTGAGCCACCCAGGTTCCCCATCTGTAATTAATTTTTAAACTCAGATGCTTTTTCTTACCTTGTTACTGCCCCAGAGAATATCCTTTCAATAATTCTGTTTGATGAAGCTAAATGTAAACAAGAGGGTACAAAGCTAGTTAGAAACATGTTGCATAAAGGCAATACTTTTGGCAAATTTATTTTCAATAGCTACAAGCTAAAACATAATAGTCTTCCATAATGAGAAGTTATGAGTATTTAAATTTTTACCTACATATAATTTATATTTCTGAAAGAATCTGAGGTGGCATAATCAATTAATTAATCACTAAAAAAAGAACAGGCAAATGATTACGCCTGATAGCTGGGATGTATTAATGTAGCTGAGCACCAAGTTAGTTCTGAACATCAGGACAGCTAAGACAAAAATGTATAGAATTTGTATTGATCTTGTTATCCAGTAGGACAACTTTTCCTTTAAAACAAGACAAATTTTATCCTCTCATGAAATTCAAGGGGAACTGATTGGCAGCTCCTAATATAAGGGACTTTGAGTAAAACAATGGAGAATGCTTTCAAGTAGAATTTTATAGAAGATACCTAAACATACCACATACTTTTCTAATATTCTTATTCTCTAAGAGTACACTGGTACCTCACTGTTGGTTCAAAATAACCAAAGGCTTTAGTTTTAACAAAAGGATATGCCAGTACAGCTCAGACCTAGGGATCTGGTGAGGACAGGAATTTGTTCTTTTTTTTTTAAAGATTTTATTTATTTATTTGAGAGAGAGAGAATGAGATAGAGAGCACGAGAGGGAAGAGGGTCAGAGGGAGAAGCAGACTCCCTGCTGAGCAGGGAGCCCGATGCGGGACTCGAGCCTGGGAAGCAGACTTCCTGCTGAGCAGGGAGCCCGATGCGGGACTCGATCCTGGGACTCCAGGATCATGACCTGAGCCGAAGGCAGTCGCTTAACCAACTGAGCTACCCAGGCGCCCGGAATTTGTTCTTTTAAGAAGTGCCCCACGTAATGGCATGTACACTATAATTTCAAAACAAGTGATGAGTCAGTAGGGAGTCAGTAGCTACCAGCATCTAATTCTTCTGCACAGAGTTAAAAGGTAAAATTAGTTTGGCTGAAGATGTTGGGAATATGGGGGTCAGTATAGCCATGCCTGGCCACAAAGCTTATATAAGGACCCTCTAATACTCTGTTGAACATTGGTTTACGGGGTTAATAATTTGTACTAGATAGACAAATAGAGGGCTGTATAGGAAAGGCATGGAATTTAATTTCAAAGCTAAAGTCTTTAAATTTGGAAGGTTTAGCCTAAAATTGAAGATCATGCTGTCCCATTTAGGACAGGTTGGTGGACTGGCAATTACATGGTCTCAGTGACCCCTTCATCATGCAGGCCTAGATGCCTACTTTTCTGGACTTCATTATTTTAACATGCCTCTACTGAGGTGTTATGTGTATATATACAATATTTGGGGACTTAGTGAGAATTATGGTATATCAGTCAGCGTGCTTTAGAGCCTGTAAGGTTTTGCATGACCTCATGTTACACAGATGATCTGGCCACTGGTGATTAGAAGGTGCAGAGCTAATAAAGCTGACCTGATACACCTGTGAATATTTCCATTTTTATGCTATTCTGGTGATGGGAAGGTTGTGACTACTTGAAGAAGGGAGGCAGAGTACTAAACCAAGTGCTGCTTGTTTATCAATAAGTACATCTGAGTATTTTCCCTCGATACCTAGTTGGCACCTGATAATTGAGAGGTAGAACTCTTTCTTATATATGGAAAGTTCTATGAAACTGGACATCATATAGAATGAATCTTTTCTTAAGATGTAAACGGTTAATTACAGATATACCAAATAACAGAAGTGAAATTCAATGCATTTGTTTAAGATTTGTACTCTGCTACATCTAAAAGGCTAAAGGCTGATTAAAAAAAAAAAATCAGCAGTGCCTGAGAAGACATTTAATAGAACAGGGCGATCTTTTTATTATTATTTTTTAAAGATTTTATTTATTTATTTGACAGAGAGAGACATGGCGAGAGAGGGAACACAAGCAGGGGGAGTGGAAGAGGGAGAAGCAGGCTTCCCGCAGAGCAGGGAGCCCAATGCGGGGCTTGATCCCAGGACCCTGGGACCTTGACCTGAGCCGAAGGCAGACGCTTAACGACTGAGCCACTCAGGTGCCCCCAGGGACGATCTTATGAGAAAAAAATGAGTCAATGTATTTTGGTGTTTGGTGAAGAATATTAAAATCATCAGGTAATAGTTTCTAAGTTTACTACTGGTAAAAATGAAGCAAAAGGGGTAATATCATGTGATATGTGATATTTTTGCTCTCTGATAAAAGAAAGCACACAAAACTCATCTGCAAGGAAAATACTTACTCTGGAACTAAATTCCAAAAAGTTAAGTTTTTATGATTCCTGGAAAACACTGGCAAGTTAGAAACATTTTCATCCTTGGCTGTCTGTTCATAAACACTGGTAAAATGGGAAATTTATAAGGGTGTATATACATTCTCTTTCAAATAAACTTTACTTAGGTATGGATCTTATTCAATTCATCATTAGAAAATAAACGTCACTATAAAGACTCAGCAATTAATCAAAACAAAGACTCTAATTGCTTACTTACTGTAAGTCCCTTATATACTTGCCTTCTAAATAAAAAATTGATACCTTCACCCATTCCCACTTAAAAATTCTTGGCTCTTTAAAGAGGACTTGATTAGATAAAGAATTTAAGAAATGGGAATTGCCCATTCATATAACAATTCATATAACTCTTGCCTTTTTCAAAATAGTTAAGTTTTAACATCTATAAAACACTTACCCTGGTCATTGTATCGAGATAAATCAGCCTGGCTGATGTAGAGGTCATGATCACTATCTAGTTCCCAGAATTTACAATAAATAACATAGAAATGTTCATAGGAGAAGTAATCTGTGATTTGGTTTATATCTTCCTCTTCTTCCAAAAGGGCTAAAGTCTGAAATAGTATGAAGAGAAAGATTAATTTATTTTAAAATTATGAAAACCAGCTTTGGCCGTTATATAGTAGTTTAATTTTAAATCGAATTAAAATTTTTGGTTTGGGTACCAAACCAGGAACTTTAATAGGCAACCTCTTCCAACCTTTAATCAAATGATCGATCTATAAGCATTTATGAATTCTGTATTATGCTTAGCTAAGGGTTAGATGCAGGGGAGGATTTAAAAGAAGGAAAGGGAAGGACTGTTACCAAGGAGATTGGAGCCCATCAGAGGTCCCCAGACCACCAAGCCAGAACAATTAGACAACAGGCTGAATTACACGGTCATAAACTGACACTGCTTGTAACTTTCCAAAATTATGAAGACTGAGCATCTATTCTATTATGTAAAGTGGAAATCCACATATAGGGTTTGGTTTTGTAATGAGATCAAGTTTACCATGAAGGTGACTTATGTATAGCATTGTGCTGATGTGTGGTGGCCTGGAGTAGAAGTCATGGGGATGGAGCTGCAGGGCCCTGAGCTGGCAGTTAACCTGGGGCTCCCCTGACCCACTGTGTGTCCTTATGGAAAACACCAGAAACAATAATTTTGAACCCAGAATTCTTACAATTCTTATAATTATCATATAAGTGGGCAGATAAATGAAGATTTTTCAGAAATGAAAGATTCAGAAAGATATAAGAAGCCATAAAAAAACCTTCAGAAATAGAAAAAACAAAATGAGATGGCAGAAATCAGATCAGATATATCAACAATCACAGCAAAGATAAATGAATTAAGTCTCCATATTAAAGTATTTAAAGTATTTTCAGATTGAGCATAAAAACAACCCCCCCAAAACATATCTAGGTATATGTTATCCATAAGACATAAATCTAAAATAAAATTTAAAAGGAGGTTTAAAAAAAAAAGACAAATATACGCTAGCTAAATGTTAACAAAAAGAAAATGTGTCAATATTATCAGAAAATAAAATGGAATTCAAGGTGAAAAATATTATAAGGGACAGAGGTGACTATTTCATAATGCAAATAAATTACTCTGATAAAAAATTATGTTCCAAAATGTAAATACTAGGAAACCAATATGCCTTGGCAAGCTGAGAACATAAATTATTATAGTAAAACTTCTTAATGGAAGATTGTGTTGCCAGTAAAAATTATAAGGCTACACAGAAACAAAGGAAAACCATGATGTGGTTAAGTGCAAAATATGGGATATAAGATTATACATACTAAAAACTCTGTAAAATCCTAAAACCTGCACATTTATATGAGACTAGAAGAACACATACAAAAATGCTATTAGTTGCATTAGGGTGATGAAATACGATTTTTCTCCTGTTTTCCAAACATGGCTGGTAATGTTTTGTTTTATAAAAAGCTCTAACATGTGTAACAGAGAATATGTACAATAAGACAAATCTTGAGAAGGAGCTCTCATTCTCCCCTACTGGATTATCATAGAATGAGAAAGACAGATAACTTGTGCTTTTAGTGAGTGTGAAAGTATGAACTAGTACAGGTTTTTAGGAGGCTAGGTTGGCAGGATCTATCAAACTGAAAACCACACTGGGGACACCTGGCTGGCTCAGTTGGTGGAGTCGTGCAACTCTTGATCTTGGGGTTGTGGGTTTGAGCTTCACGTTGGGTGTAGAGATTACTTAAAAATAAAAAATCTTAAAAATAAAACAACCCTGAAAATGCATATACCATTTGATCCAGGATTTCCCCTCCAGTAGTCTATTCTAGAAAAATTCTTACCTGTATACACACAGGAGTAAAGTACAAGGATATTCACTGCATCATTGCAAATAGGAAAACCCTGAAAATGACTTAAACACCCTCTACAGGAGAATATGTAATTTAGTTATGGTAGAGCCATGCCACAGATTATGCAGCAGTTAAAAGAATGAGATAGATTTATATGCATGGAAATGAAAAGAATGTTAAGATATACTGTTAGCAAAAAAAAACCAGAATGATCTCATATATTTTAAAAAACCACCTCAAAAAAGCAGCCATACAAAATAAAACTGTTTACTCCATGTATACATATATAAAGGAATATAAGGGAATAAAACCATAGATAATATGGATGGGTTCCCTCTGGGAAAGGGAATGAAATGGTAGGGTGAAGGGATAAATAGTGACTTCTGCTGATTATTCTATATATGTTCATATTATCTGAATGCTTTATGAGCATATAAGTCATGAGCATACATTCATGAATAATGTACTAAACAGGAAGAGTAGGAGAGGGATAAGGAAGAAGGGAAAGAATTAAATCATGCTCTAGGAAGAACACTTGAGTTCTGTTTCCAGTTCGGCCATTTACTTGCTGTGTGATCTTATCTAAGTCATTCAACCATACCTGAACCTCAAATTTTATCATCAATTAAAAAAATATGTATTATAATAATGCCAGAAACTGTTACAAACTAATGTGCTTCAGGAATGTGAGGGATTATCATTCTTAAGGTGTAAGGCCTCTTTATGGAATCACTGCCGTCTCAACCCATCCCATGTTACCTACTGAGAGAGGCAGGCACCAGGTGTTCCATAAATACGAACAATGACTGTGATGATTACTATTCATTTTAGAATAAAAAAGGTTTTTATATGGATTATGGGCTGCTAATTTTGCCAAGTCTTCATTACTTTGTCCCAGATGAAGACAGGGAAAAATAAAGAGTACATAAGGTTGTATTATTAGCCTAAGCTTCATTTAGTATGATTCATTGAAAATAAAATATTTTCTTTCCTTTCAAGTATGAACAATTCTTTAGGTTAATGGAAGCCTGAATAATCAGGCATGAAGATTACCTCGGTAAAAGGCTCCCACTAGTGGTCAATACTTTCTCTCTTATTTGGGAAAATAAAATAATTGAATGGAATGTATGCTTTCTTAAAAGGACTTTTTAGTATTTTTCTCCACTCCAGTAGAGCTGGATAAAGAGTTATTGCTGAAAGGATCAAGTTGAAACCCCTCCATTCCTTTCGCAAGGCCTTTCCACACCCAGCTCATCTCACCCCTCAGGCTGTATCACTGGTCACTCCGCAGAGCCACTGGCCACTTTATTTTTATTTTTTTAAAAGATTTTATTTCTTTATTTGACAGAGAGAGAGAGACAGCGAGAGAGGGAACACAAGCAGGGGGAGTGGGAGAGGGAGAAGCAGGCTTCCCGCTGAGCAGGGAGCCCGATGCGGGGCTCGATCCCAGGACCCTGGGATCATGACCCGAGCCGAAGGCAGACACTTAACGATTGAGCCATCCAGGCGCCCCTACCACTGGCCACTTTAGACTGCGGTCTTAGAGTGTGGACACTTTCATGCTTCTGGGCCTTTGCTTATGCTGCTCCTGTTATCTGGAATCCCCTTCTAAATTTTTACTTTGATAAACTTCCGATACCCTCCAAGGTCAGGATCACATGTCAGTCTTTCTGTGAGGCCTTCTCTGCATATTTGTTATCCGTTTTTGTGGAAATTTTCGTCAGGTGTGACTGTGCACTTTTCTTTTAGTCCATGTGCCTTGATATAAAAAATCCTGGTTATTCTTCTTTGTTCTCCCCAACACATCCCAGGTATCTGGTAAATGCTTAATGACTGAAAGTAGTGAAAGTGCTTTGCATACAATAAGCACTCAAATATTTGTTAAATGAAATAAGAATATTATTTAACTTGCTATTTATTTTTTTACATTTTTTAAAAAAGATTTTATTTATTTACTTGTCAGAGAGAGAGCACAAGCAGGGAGAGCTGCAGGCAGAGGGAGAAGGAGACTCCCCGCTGAGCAGGGAGCCCGATGCGGAACTCGATCCCAGGACTCTGGGATCATGACCTGAACTGAAGGCAGAAGCTTAACCCACTGAGCCACCAAGGTGTCCCTCACTTGTTCTTCATATATGAATTCCAATGAGAGACGTACTTGCAAAAAGTTGCTTTTTCTTATCTCTGTCGAAGTTATTTTTCCACTCCAAGATCTGTTGACTGTGTAGAATATTCTCTGAATAACCTGGTTCCAAAAGAAAACAAATCAAATAAAAATACTGAAGATATTTATGACTTCACCAAAGGCCATCTTATGAATGTATCTTGAACCAAGCTATGTTTTGGTTTTCTGATTATGGCAAGTGTAATTTCTAATGAAAACTAACATCATATTTTAAAAAGCACATCCATGTCCCCTATAATTCCAAGAACAATAAAAAGATACTCTTTGCTCATATGCCTGCATTTCCCAATTACCTACATGTCACTTTATTTACCTCTCATCTTATACAGTGATGCCTGATTCAAGCAGTGTTTATTGGGCTGGATGTTTTGGGAAGGCAAATGAGGTGGGAAATACACACTGGGTTGGCTTAACAATCGGTGGGTCCTAAGAATGGCTTCCTGGTATGATTCAAGAGGACATTATTCTGGTTATTATAGCCTTATTCATTGGACTCTTAAAGACTTCTAGTCTTCCAGACTCTTTCTGGAAGATAACTCATATACTGAGTCCTTACTTGGGCATGAGCAATTTTGTTATTAGCTAGTCTTTAAAGAGTTTAGTAACAGATGTAAAACTCTGGAGAAGACCCTGGACAGGATGAGAGAGGAGGGAACAGGTAGCAAATGTGTCTGAGATTGATGACATGTGTGTGGTGGTGTAGTGGAGGGTTGGAGAAGGAAGACAAGGCTGCTATCCTGGAGGGAGGAGGCTGCAGTGTATTCTTAACAATTTTACCTAGGGTTATGCCTACGCATTTAATTTCTCTTTGACCCACTGGTTTTGTTTTTTTCCTCCAAAAGGAAGCAGTAGTGAGAAGAGCAATTTAAGCAGCTTTCTTAAAAACTATTTTAATTTTTTTTTTGGTTTCAAGGTTTTATTTAAATTCTAGTTAGTTAATATATAGGGTAATTACTGGTTTCAGGAGCAGAATTTAGTGATTCATCACTTATATATAACACCCAGTACTCATCTCAAGCAGCTTTTTTTGACACTTTGCCTTTGATTTTGACTATCTAATAGAAATCCTGTATCCTTGATGGTTTTATCATGGAAGAGGTTAGATCCTTTTTATTTCTTTTTTTTTAAGATTTTATTTATTTATTTGAGGGGGGGTAGAGAGAGAGAGAGAGTGAGAAACAGCATGAGAGGCTTGGGGGAGGGTCCGAGGGGGAAGCAGGTTCCCCGCTGAGCCGGGAGCCTGATGTGGGACTTGGTCCCAGGACTCCAGGATCATGACCTGAGCTGAAGGCAGTCACTTAACCAACTGAGCCATCCAGGCGCTCAAGGTTAAAGCCTTTTTAAGTTATTTTAGTACAAGAACATAAAAGGGAAGACATTTGGACATCTATCCATAGAGTAGGCCTAATGAGGGACTAAACCACCATTCCCCTTCTGGATTCCTTAGCAAAGAGAGTGATTCTCAAACAGAGCAGGGAAAAACCAGCCTCAGAATGAAGGCCCAGATTTCTGCTGCCCAGCTTTCCTTATCCTATAGCAGTGCTAATTCCTGACGCTTCAGAATCTAGCTCAACTGCTAATTCCACAGAAAGTGTCAGAACAGGGACTGTTCTGTCAAGTGAGTCTCCTTCAGTTCATCTTATATTCTAAACATTGGTGCACCTGACCATCATCACCTCCAAACTCCAAGGTACCAAGTCTTTCTTGACTTGCATCCCAGTGCTTGATATGGTGCCCTGCATATCAGGTGGTTAATAATTGCTTGGTAAATTTTTTATTTGAGGAATAATGGACATACATTATATCAGTTTCTGGTGTAAGACATGATTTGATATTTGTATATATTGCAAAACAATCACTGTAATAAGTCTCCTTAACATCTGCCGCCATACATAGTTATGGAATGTTTTTCTTGTGATGAGAACTTTTAAGATTTACTCTCTAAGCAACTTTCAAATATGCAATATATTTGTATTACTATATTATATATAGTATTAATTATATATAGTATATATAGTATTAACTACAGTCACCATGTTTTCCTTTACAACCCCATGACTTAACTTACTCTATAACTGGAAGTTTGTACCTTTTGACTCCCTCTTCACCCATTTTGCCTATACCCAGCCCCTGCCTCTGGCAATCACCAATCTGTTTTCTTTATGTACGAGCTTTTTTTTTAGATTCCACCTCTGAGAGAGCTCATATAGTATTTGTCTCTGAGGTCTGACTTACTTCATTTAGCATAATGTCTTCAAAGTCGATCAGTGTTGTTGCAAATGGCAAGATTTCATGGCCTAGGGGTACCAACCCCCAGCCATGTGCAGTTGAAAATCCACATATAACTTGACTCCCCCCAAATTTAATAATATCTAATTATCTAATAGCTTACTGTTGACTGGAAACCTTACCAATTACATAAACAGTTGATTAACATATATTTTGTATGTTATATATGCACTATATACTGTATACTGTGTTCTCACAATAAAGCTAGAAAAAAAATATTAAGAAAATCATAAGGAAGAAAAAGTTTATTTACAGTGCTATAAAAAAATCTGCATAAGTGGCCCATGTAGTTCAAACCCATGTTGTACAAGGGTCAACCGTATGTATATACCACATCTTTATCTATTCATTCGTTGATGGGCACTTAGGTTGTTTCCATATTTTGGCTACTGCTAATAATGCTGCAATGAACACAGGGTGCACTGATCCTTTTAAGTTAATATTTTTGTTTTCTTTAGATAAATACCCTGCAGTGGAATTGCTAGATCATATGGTGGTTGTATTTTTAATTTTTGAGGAACCTCATATTGTTTCCCATAGTGGCTGCACCAATTTATATTCCCACCAATAGTGCACAAGAGTTCCTTTTTTTTCTACATCCTCGCTAACACTTGTTATTTTCTTGTCTTTTTGTTATTAGCCATTCTGACTGGTGTGAGGTGATATCTCACTGCAGTTTTGATTTGCATTTTGCTGATGATGAGTGATGTTGAGCAACTTTTTATGTACCTGTTGGCCATCTGTATGTCTTCCTTAGAAAACTGCTTCATAAATTAAAGAGATTTGAGACTCGTGTAACAAAAACTTTCATGCTGTACCTGTGATAAGAGACATATGGGTTGGAATCATAGCTAGTTGAATAACTCTCTTCAGAGTTGTAAATAAAGAAAGGTCTCTAATTAGTATTTCACATAAATCAGTACTATTCTCTATGATTTAAAGATAGATAGCATATAAAATGTGCAGAAAACATAAAACAGAGAGGGCTAACTATATTCAAAATTATTGTAAAAGATACTATGAATTTAGTAATTTTTACTCTTGAGGGAAAAATAAGATTAGAGCGTACATGTGACCATGATCTGAATGGCTGACTATCTGGTGGAAGAAGTGGCCAACTTGTTCTGTGTTGCACTAGAAAGCAGAACTAAAATTATTGGATAGATAGTGCATTAGGTTTGAGCAGGGACTAGCTGGTGTCTAATTTCTCTATTGGCTCTAATCACTCAGACTCTGATTGAGGTGCTTCAGGGCAGAGAATGTGTCCTACTTGACAGTGTATTCTTTTTTTTAATTTAAATCCAATTAATTGGGGCGCCTGGGTGGCTCAGTCATTAAGCGTCTGCCTTCGGCTCAGGTCATGATCCCAGGATCCTGGGATCGAGCCCCGCGTCGGGTTCCCTGCTCTGCGGGAAGCCTGCTTCTCCCTCTCCCACTCCCCCTGCTTGTATTCCCTCTCTCGCTGTGTCTGTCTCTGTCAAATAAATAAATAAAATCTTTAAAAAAAAAATAAATAAATTAACATATAATGTATTATTGGTTTCAGAATTTTAAAATTTTATTTTTAAAATTTAAAGCCAATTAATTAACATGGTGTATTATTGGTTTCAGAGGTAGAGGTCAGTGATTCATCAGTCTTATATAATACCCAGTGCTCATCAGATCACATGCCCTCCTTAATCAACAGTGTATTCTTAACACTAGCTTTGCAGAAGTTCATATAAAAAAGATGGAGGATTTTAAGTACAGAAATTACATATACGAAAATAAATGGTAAGAATACCATTTATCATAGTTCCATGGCTCCTCTCTCAAGTAAAAGTCAATTTCAAAACATATTATTACACCAAAATTTTCTATGTTGAACATGATTAAATTTTTATCCTTATTATTTGATTTTGAATATAAATTTATCTAAAGTCTAAGTTTCCTATTTTATTTTCCTATTTTATATTTATATATTCAAATATTTTATATTATTTCTGAAGGTACCGTGTTACACTTAAAATGATAAAGCTTTAATCTGTATTTTTGCTTATTTTGTTAATCATTTTTTGTTTTTCTTTGATAGAATTTTTAAAATTCACAAATGTTTTGACTGTTAAGCGTTTTCCACTTTTAGCCTCTGCTAACTTACTTATCTAATAATATGAAAAAATGTACTTGTAGTCCGTTTTTCCATAGCCTAAATCTCTTTATTCAGTAGCCCCACTTCATCAGAACATTTATTGGTTTCCACATTACTGATTCAGCATTTTAGCTCATTGAGGTACGGGCACCATCTAGTGGTCAGAACATGTAGCTGCTTGGTTCTACATCTACCCTTGTTTCCCCCCCCCCACCCAATTTTGTTCTACCACTTTTAGGTAAATAAAAAAGAAATTAATCACAGTTTTTAAAATAATAAAAAAAAATTTAAGAATTAGTAATGGTAAGAATAATTGTTTACTACCAGTGAGTGGAACAAAATTTGACAATTTTTTACCGAGGGATCTCTGGTCAACTTGATAGTTTGAATTTTAAATCAGTTTCCTTTCTTTTTCCTTATATCTATTGAACTGGAAACCTCTAATTTACAAGTGTAGGTCACCAGAAATGTGAGCAAGTGTTTGGTAGCTCTGTCAGACAGGTTTTGACAGGTGGATTGGATGTGGACACAAAAATAACAGATTGCTCATTGTAGGTAATTTATGCAGATGAGTATTCAAAGGCTGGAAGCATGGTTCTTCTACCTGGCAGGGAATGGTGAAAAGATCCTTGATCCACTCTGGTTAATATAGCTCTGAAGAGTATTTCTCCGTGGTCGTCTGCAGAATTTGGACTTAAAAAAAAAAAAATCTAATACAAATTTCCTCCTTTCTCTATCAAGAGGTTTGGAGGAAAAGTCAAGCTGTTAGTGATGAACAGTCTCCACCACCGTTTAGTCATCTCAGGAAATATCAGTACCTTGTCCTAACAATTAAATTCCTGGCATTTCAGCCTAAAGTGATGGCTTTGGGCCAATCAAGACACTGAATCTATCACTAAGACACCATCTGAGCAAGCCAGAGAAATGTCTTTGCTGCCAGCACCAGTGTCACAAAGAAGTATTTTCAATCTCATTGTTTATTTTAAAAACTCACATGAGCACCTCTTTCCTCAAAAGTCAGCATATGCCAGCTAGGATAAGCAGAGTCTTTTATTCACTGGCAACTTCTCTGCACGGCATGCAAAACTGCAAACTCAAGGGCTATAATTTGCTAGTATTTCCAATTTTCATTTTCATTCAGTATCAAGAGACTTATTTCTTAAAGGAGAATATGGAGTAAATTTAGGTGTATTCTCTTATTTGGGTAGTGATATTCTTTTCTGCTGTATGCATAGTTGGTGCTCTGTCTTTCCAGTCTGAAAATAGCTGACAAAATAATTAAACAAATGGAAAGTCTTTTCCTATAGCATGTTTTTCAGTGATAAATAGAAAATAAAAGTCACCCAACTTTTCACTATATGAGTGCCACACTAAAACTAATATTTGAGCCATACTTTGTGTCAGTAGTTTTTTCCAACTAGACAGAGTGAAAATACTGAATAACTCCAGCATGCAAACAAAAAAAATATATTAACTGTTTTTTACTACATGCCACTGAGATTATATAACATTTAATAGGGTCAAATGACAAATTAATTTCGCTTTTTCTGAGATATTTATCTTTAATTCTGAGGCTGATCTAAGTTTCTAAGAAATAGTGTGACCTTATCAGTTTTTGCTCTGAACAGGATAGAGAATGATGCCTCTGTCATTCACTTTTATGCCATTAACAACATTCATTAATTTCACACTAGAAAACTTATTTTGATTTGTTCTAGAAAAACTCACTGTACTCTGAAGTAATGCACAAGTTCCAATGATTTCATACCATTATTTGGCCAGATTTCACAACAGAAAAGGCAGTCCTTTAATAAAATTCTGTTTCCAGATATGCATGTGATACTTTTTATTTGCACTTGCCTTTTTCAGACGGTACTATGAGGTTATCACAATAGGTACACTTATCTCAGTACACAGAGATTCACATTCTGTATTCTCAATGGGATCTTGTTTACTATTTATGTTATGATGTTGTTTTGAATTGCCCTATTATCATTATTTCATTGCAAGTATTTTACAATTTAGTAATTATTTCTGAGTAATGGATTTATTTTTGTGAATTGGGGATAAAGCAGCATAATAACAAGAGAGTGTAAATTTTAAAAATATAAATAATATGCAAATGCCATGAAAATGTATCAGCAGAGATAATTAATGATATCCTGTTAATTGACCAATTTAGTTCTCTTTGTTTAATGATTAACATAACAGAATTTCTAGGAAAATGTGAAGTACATGTCAACAAAATTGTTTCATGGCTTTTCACTCTGAAATTATAAATTCCTGGGGACCACTTGCTAGATGACACAGACCATCATGGGTCCATGGTACTTCAACAAATGCCAAACTAGAAAGTGTAGAGAAAGAAAATTTATCTCTATTTTATAATTCTGTTTATTTAACATTTTTTCTAAGAATAAATTCCAATAAAAAGTTCCTCTATAGAAAGTATTTTCTGAATTGGTAGAAGGTTGGGCTGGATTATCTCTAAGATCTTTCCTAGCTCTTAAGATTTTCAATTATGCTATTAGCATGCCCTGAGTTTATAGAACAGTCAACAATCAGAACCCAATAATTCCCTATGGAATTGAAGCCACAGTTAATGTGTAGAATTCTTAAGCATGAATAATTTCATTTATTTATTCAATAAATACTGTATATCTAATATGTGCTAGGCACTATTCTAGGTATTGGAGATACTGTAGTGAAAAATATAGACAATTCCCTGCTCCAATGGAGTTTCTATCATAGAGAAGGAGAATTTAAAATTTAAAATATTAGACGATATAAGACCTGAGAAGAAAAATAAAGCAGAACAAATGAAGAGAGAGTACAGGGGGAGGGGGCAGAGGGAGAAGGGTGAAGAAGGCAAAGGGTGTTCAGGGAAGGCCTTACTAATAAGGAATATCTGAGTTGGATGAAGTAAGTAAAGGAGCAAGTCATGTGGAAATCTGTAGAAAGAGCATTTCAGGCAGAGGAAAGAAGTAAAAAGCACCTGAGGCAGAAGTGGAGTTGGTGTGTTCCAGGAACAGTGAGAATGCAGTTGTGATCAAAGCGCAGTAAGTGAGGAGCAGGGTAACAGGAGAGATGAGAGCACAGAGGTTGTAAGGGGGTGTGTGTGTGTTGGGGGGGATTATGGGGAGTCTTAGCAAGGACTTTGGCTTTTCCTCTGAGTGAGACGGAAACCACTGGAGGGTTTGAACAGAGGAGTGACATGATCTGACTTACATTTTCAAAGGATTAGCTCTGCTTTGTGGAGACTACACTGTAGGCAATGAAGGTGTAAGCGGGGAGACCAGTTCGAAGTAATCCAAGTGAGAAACCACGGTGACTGCACCAGGGTGACTGTGGTGGCAGTAACTGAGTACAGTGGTGTGGTTAACAGACAAAAATCACTTCTGAGATAGTCTTAGAACACAGTGACACCTTCTGGCTCAAAGAAAGACTTACAAAGTTTTACAACAGAAGAGAGCCAATGTAAAAGCCAAGAATGAAAGGAGAAAAAGAATGGGCGTATTCTGTAACTTGACAGAACCTAATAAATTCATGGCCAACAAAAAGTACCCTAAGAATGAGAGCGTCTTCCTCAGAGGTGACTGCCCTGTAATCTTACTGGGGGATGTGCACCAGACGCAAGGGCTAACTCACTTGACTGTGGCTGTGATGGAGGGGTTTGTCCTGGGGCTCATCTTTGGAATTTCTCCAAAGATAATGTGGGAGCTAGGGCAAAGAATGCTGGATGTGGCTGCAATGTGCACTGCAGGTTGGTGTGCTCTGACTCATCATTCATGCCTTACCTGCGACTGGTCAAATGAGACCATGCATGAGAAACAGGGAATGAGAGTACCTCACAAAATGGGAGATTGTGATTATGCTACGTTAAATTTTTATGTGATTTGTTTTCTGATTATATGTAAGCTATTTCTCATTATCATTTCCAGTTCTAAATTTGAGACACATCTTTTTCTGGAAAAGGCTTTTGAAAATTCTTTTCAGTATTATTTGTAAATGCTCAATATTAACTGGGTATCAATATTAAAAACAAAGCAAAAAGTGTACCTCATAAGACCAAACAGAATGAAAATATTACTCTAATTTTGTATACACTGGTACTTATAAGAAGGAAAGTAGATATCAATAACTAATTCAATTTTATTTTACCTTCCTCCCACTTAAAATAATCATCATAGCCCAGGTTATCTTTTGCATAAAGATCTGAAAGCCTGGACAAAGGAGACTTACAGATCTATATTAAGGAAAAAGAAGACTCAGCCTACCGTGGTGATGTAGCGGGAGTGGAATTCTGGAGCATCTTTCAGGAACGTGAGGCCAGGGTGTGTATCCACCACATCCTGAAGAAGATTAAAACCAAAACTAAATTAACAAACATACCAAAGAGCAAAATAAAAAAATTAACACGCTAACAGAATTTTTCCTTCCTGTAGAGTAAGTAGCCAGTTGAGCAAACCTGCAATTTTTAGAATACTGAACAATGCACTTAAAATTTAACACTTTATTACATTCAAATTTTATTACAAGCATACTTATGTGTGCTTTTTGATATGCTAGTATACTTCAATAAAGCATTAATTAAAATTTTAATTTAGCAGGTGCCTGGGTGGCTCAGTCGGTTAAGCATCTGCATTCGGCTCAGGTCATGATCCCAGGGTCCTGGGATCATGCCACATTGGGCTCCTGGCTCAGCAGGGAGCCTGCTTCTCCCTCTCCCTCTGCCTCTCCCCCTGCTCATGCTCTCTCTCTCTGTATCTCTGTGTATCAAATGAATAAATAAAATATTTTAAAAAATGCTTCAAATTCAATTTAGTTAACATATAGTGTATTATTAGTTTCAGGGGTAGAATTTAGTGATTCATCAGTTGCATATAACACCCAGTGCTCATTACATCAAGTGTCCTCCTTAATGCCCATCACCCAATTACCCCATCCTCCTATCCACCTCCGCTTGAGCAACCCTGTTTGTTTCCTATAGTTAAGAGTCTCTTACAGTTTGCCTCCCTGTTTTTGTCTTATCTTCCCTTCCCCTATGTTCATCTGTTTTGTTTTCCTTTTTTTTTTTTTTTAAAGATTTTATTTATTTATTTGACAGAGAGAGAGAGCACAAGCAGGGGGAGCAGTAGAAGGAGAGGGAGAAGCAGGCTCTCCGCCATGCAGGGAGCCCGATGCGGGGCTTGATCCCAGGACCCTGGGACCATGACCTGAGCCGAAGGCAGACGTTTAACCATCTGAGCCACCCAGGTGCCCCATCTGTTTTGTTTCTTAAATTCCACATGTGAATGAAATCATATAGTATTTGTCTCTGACTGACTTATTTCACTTAGCATAATACCCTCTAATTCCATCCATGTCATTACAAATGGTAAGATTTCATTCTTTTTGATGGCTGAGTAGCATTCCATTGTGTGTGTGTGTGTGTGTGTGTGTGTGTACCACTTCTTTCTTATCTGTCAATGGACATCTGAGCTCGTTCCATATTTTGGCTACTGTGGACGTTGCTGCTATAAACATTGGGGTGCATGTACCTCTTTGAATCAGTATTTTTGTATCCTTTGGATAAATACCTGGTAGTGCAATTGCTGGGTCGTAGGGTAGCTCTATTTTTAACTTTTTGAGGAACCTCCATACGTTTTTCAGAGTGGCTGTACCAGCTTGCATTCCCACCAACAGTGTAAGAGGGTTGCCCTTTCTCTGCATCCTCACCAACATCTGTTGCTTCCTGAGTTGTTAGTTTTCGCCATTTTGATCAGTATGAGGTGGTATCTCATTGTGGTTTTGATTTGTATTTCTCTGATGAGGAGTGATGTTGAGCATTTTTTCATGTGTCTGTTGGCCATTTGTATGTCTTCTTTGGAGAAATGTCTATTTACGTCTTCTGCCCCTTTCTTGACTGGATTTTCTGTTTCTTGGGTGTTGTATTTGGTAAGTTTTTTTTATAGATTTTGGATACTAGCCCTTTATCTGATAAGTCATTTGCAAATATCTTCTCCCATTCCACAGGTTGCCTTTTGTTGATGCATTTAGTTCTTGTGCCTCACTGGTCTCTCCCAATCTTCAATAGTTACTTAGTCTTGTATTTCATAATCATGAAATATGCCTTTTTTTTTGAGAGAGCATGAGTGGGGAGAGGGAGAGAGAGAATCCCAAGCAGGCTTCATGCTCAGCATGGAGCCTGATGCGAGGCTTGATCTCATGGCCTTGACATCATGACCTGAGCCGAAACCAAGAGTCAGATAACTTAACCAACTGAGCCACCTAGGCATGCCTCATGATTTTGACACTCTTAATGAGTTCTAGTCAGTTATTCTGTAGACTGTCTCTCAACATGGTTTTGTTTGATGTTTTCTCATGATTAGATTAAGATTATACATTTTTGGCAGGTATACCACATAAGTGGTATTGTGTGTTTTACAGTCATATAAGAGTATGTGATGTCAGTATGTCTTTTATCTTGTAGAGTTAACTTTGATCACGCTTGGCTGAAATGGTGACTTCTGGGTTCACCACCATATAGTTATTATTCTCCCTTAATAATTAATAAATATTGTGGAGGGGGGGATATACTTTGAAACTCTGCAAATTTCTGCCCACAGATTTCAGCATTTTTTTAAAAAAAGATTTTATTTATTTGAGAGAGAGTGAGAGAGGTATCACAAGCAGGGGGGAAGGGCAGAGAAAGAGGGAGAAGCAGATGCCCCACTTAGCAGGGAACCTGATGCCAGGCTCAATCCCAGAACCCTGAGATCATGACCTGAACCGAAGGCAGACATTTAACTGACTGAGCCACCCAGGCGCCCCTGATTTCAGCAGTCATTTGTGGAACCTGATTGTGATATTTATACTGTGGTGCTTATCTAATAGTGATTTTGTATTTCTCTCATTCTTTCTACATTTAATAACTGGAATTCTTCTGTAAGGAAGAGCTGTTCCTCCTCTCTCACATATTTATATGTTCAATTCGTATCAGTACAGACTCATGGGTATTTATTTTATTCTAAGGGTTATAATCCAACACTATCATTATTTATTTTGTTGCTCAAATTGATCTTGCTCTGGCCATTGGAACTCTATCAGGTTGGCCTCTGTGTCCTCTTGACATGCCCTATCCTTTTGTGAGCACTTTTGTATTTTCTGGTATCACAAGATGGTATCATCTTATATTTTCATCGTTCCAGCCCTGGAATCTACCTTACCCCCCCCCCCCCACAAATAGCCCTGGTTCCTTTATTGGAAATGGTACTTAAAAAACATTTAGAAATCTGGATGCTAGGTGTGCTCATTACCATTAGGGTGTCATTGCTCCTGGACCCTCTTGGCAGGAAGAACTAGGAATACTTGTATGTACAGCAGTCCCCCCTTATCTGCAGGGGATATGTTCCAAGACTCCCAGTGGACGCCTGAAATTGCCAATAGTTCTGAACCCTATATATATACAATGTTTTTTCCTAAACATATGATAAAGTTTAATTTATAAATTAGGCACAGTAAGAGATTAACAATAACAATATTAAAATAGAGTAATTACAATATACTATAATAAAAGTTATATGAATGTGATTTCTCTCTCAAAATATTTCGTTGTACTGTACTTACCCTTTTACTTCTTGTGATGATATGAGATGAAAAATGTCTACATGATGAGATGAAGTGAGGTGAATGGAGTAGGCATTGTGCGGTAGCCTTAGGTTACTATTGATCTTCTAATGTTATGTCAGAAGGAGGATCATCTGCTTCTAGACTGCAGTTGACCATGAATAACTGAAACTGCATACACAGGTGGGGGGAACTCCTTTATACTAATCCAAGCATACACATTTTTATTTCTTTCTATTTCTATATTTATCTGTATATACTAAAAACTATGTAATCATGTAGAGAATGGATTCTAATACTATACACAAGGTTCAGTCTAAACTTCTCCCTTTCCTTTGTAACTTTAACAGAATCGCCAACCTATATCCCATTGAGAAACAAATTTACTAAACAGAGTATAGTATTAGTGTATAGTTCTTTTTGTCTCTGGTCTTACAGTATCCAGTTAAAATAGTACTTTCCAAGGTTACTCAGGTTAGCTCTCTCCTGTTCTTCCTTTATTCTCCTTAATGCAGTTAGAATACAGTTCAGTTCATTTGTTACTGTTGATTATTTTATTCTGAGTTTCTTTCCCACAGGTCCAGGTTGATTTTAATTCATTACTTATTTCTTGGAGGGAGAGTATTTGCACATTATTACGGTTCTAAGAGTCAAAGCTAATGTAGAATTGACATCTTAACAATATTGAGTTCTCCTACCCATAAGGAAGACCTCTCCCTCCATTTATATAAATCTTATTTTAAGTTCTCTCAGCAATGTTTTGCTGTACTTTGTGTGCAGGTCTTGCACATCTTTTATCAGATTCATCCCTAAGTATTTAATATTTGGGGGTAGTATTATAAATGGTATTTTTCAAATTTCAATTTTGAATTGTTTGTTGCTAGTATATAGAAGAAAATTGATTTTGTAGACTAATCATGTTATCTGTAAACTTGCTAAGCTCACTTATTAAATACAGCTTTAGCAGCATCTCATGAATTTTGACATGCTGTGTTTTCACTTTCATTCAGTTCAAGATATTTCTTAATTTTCCTTTTGACTTCTTCTCTGACTCATGGGTTATTTAAAAGTGTTATTTAGTTATCAAATACTTGAAAATTTTTCAGAGATATTTTATTATTTCTACTTTAATTCCATTCAAGTCAAAGAAATACTTTAAGAGCTAACTTTTAAATTTTTATTGAGATTTTCTATGGCCCAGAATATGGTCATCTTGGTAAATATTCTGTGTACATGTTAAAGGAATGTGTATTCTACTGTTGTTTGATAAAGTGTAATATAAATGTCAATTAGGTCAAGTTGGTTGATAGTGTTGTTCAAGTGTTCTATATCCTTACTGATCTTTTCTCAACTTGTTCATTATTGAGAACAGCACATGGAAATCTACAATTATGACTTGAATGTATCCTTGAAGTTCTATCAGATTTTGCTTCACGTATTCTGAAAGTCTGTTACAAGGTGCACAAACATTTAGAATTGTCATGTTATGGGCGCCTGGGTGGCTCAGTCGGTTAAGCATCTGCCTTCGGCTCAGGTCATGATCCTGGAGTCCCAGGATCGAGTCTGGCATAGGGCTCCCTGCTCAGCAGGGAGTCTGCTTCTCCCTCTGACCCTCGCCCGTCTTGTGCTCTCTCTCTCTCTCAAATAAAATCTTTAAAAAAAATTGTCATGTTATTATATTCTTTTTTTTTTTTAAGACTTTATTTATTTGACAGAGAGACAGCGAGAGAGAGAACAGAAGCAG